TGAACTTTTTTTTTTTATTTCTACTGTCCAAACAAGAATTTTATCTTATAATTGCTAGAACATTGTTAGTCTCAAAATGTCCTGCTATCTTCTATAGCAAGAGTATTGATTTTCACAAGTGCTGCTGTTCAAATGATGCTTTAAGAGTTTCCAAGTACCATTAATTTAGGACTTAATCTTGTTTTTCCTTAGTTTTCTAGCCAAAAGTATAGAATGAAGATCTATATCACCAGTTTCTTTTTCCTCCACAACTCTTTAACATAATCACAGTCTGATTGCTGTATGTAAATTTAACTTAACAGTGCTCAGAGCCATATATGATTCTATCTCAGTTGTCATCTGTTTGATGTTTTTATTCTCCTCTGAATCTGATTTAGACTGTAATTACAGATAAATTCTTTCTGCAATATTTCAAATTCTTTTAAAGTTTTAAAGCTGTTGTTTTTTTATAATGTATTTTGTTCAGCTATTGGTGGAAGGTTTTTAATTATAATAAACTATGATTATATAAAAACAATAACAGAAACCTTTATATGTAATTTATATCACACCATTCCCAGCTTTATTACCATGGAATTTGTGACTATGAAATATTTTCTGTCACTTTACAGGGATTATTACTTAGAGCCATCTGATGCATTGTAGTGCTTCAGTGATAATTTCAGTGATGAAATCTTATACTTTACAAACTCATGCTTAATTATTTATATCAAGCTGACTTCAAGGGAAATAGGATTTCTAAGTGATAGCAAAGTTCGCAGGAAACATCTTTTGTCTTTCACTGCTTGCTTTGTCAAATCAATTTTCTTGTCCATCTTGTCTGGTTTATTTCTATTCTTTTTTAAAAAAAAAAATAGTTACATGCCTCTTCAGAATGAGAAGATGGTGCCATGAGCCAGGAATCAGACAATGGCTTAATGTGAAGAGGCTGCTTCACCAGGAGTTATCGAATGTCAATCTCAGGAGGCACAAAGTCAAAAGGCTGATTAGACATAGGCAACACCTGGGTAATTGAAAAAGTCAGATAATACTGACATAAGGCCTCCCTGCCTGTAAGTAGACAGGAGAGCAGAGCAGAGACATCCTATGAGGCTCATTGCCAAGCTATGGGGTAAATCTCTTGATTTATGGCAGCTGGCCACAATCTGATTTAAGAGGCAGCCTAACCCATGTTTTTTTATTGTTGGAAGCAATTGTCTTCTCTCTGTCTGTTGTTGTCTCTCATGTGTGAATTTTGCTCATGAAATTCTGACCTTTGGACTGTCTGACAACCCTGACCTGGATCATGGAACTCTGGACTAAATTTGGACCAATCTTCTCCATGCTCATGTTAAAGAAAGCCCTTCAAACAAGCATTTTTCAGAGACTCTATTTTGGATTGCATTCCTTGTCTGGCATTATCTTTGGGCCTTGAATAAGTTGTTAATTCCTATAGCAACTGTATGAAGGAATGTTTAACTGAAATCAGAGGCAGGATAGATGGGAAGGAGAACTTTTTGTGAAGGACCTCAGACCCATTAATTTTAAAAGTTTATAAAGTTTATAAATATGTACATTATTTTGAATATACAAGCTGATTATTTGCACAGTCACAAAGAAAGATATCTACAGTCTTTAAAAATATGTACAAATCTTACCGAAATGTGGGATTCCCAATTGCGGTACCTCTAACGAAGGGCTGGACTGATTCTTGTTCAGCTCTAATTCTGGTGCCTAACTATAAGTTAGTAAAAATCTAATCCAATTCCATGTAGGTTTAATCAGAATATAAATCAAGCATGCAGGGGACTATTCCATTTATTGTTGTTGAGGCAGGGAAGAACAAAACTAGAAGGAGAAATAAGTCATGGGAGGCAATAAGACCTTTAATCAAATGAATATCAATTAAACCACAGGTATATAATGTAATTTGCATTAACTATTTGCTACAAAAAGAAAAGAAAAACTGAAAATGCAAACAAAATGTCCCACCTTCATTTGGTATATTATACTAGTTTCCACAAGAAAAGAACACTCATGCCTATAATGACCAAGCTTTTGAGCAAATTTAATCACATTTACATAATTACATGCTTCAACTGTAACTATACACTGTCCCCACAGGAACTCAGGGCTAAACATTTCATTGTGTTCTAATTATTCAGTAGTATGTAGCTGACAATTTATGGATTTTAGGCAACCTAAAAACATTTACCAGAAGGGAATTTTTATAGCCTAAATATGCTACCTAAATCTGTTGACTCCTGCTTAAATGTTATATTTTTCTTTGTTTCTTTATGACTGTAAATAATCAACTTGTATATTCAAAATAATGCACATATTTAAAATAGCAAAAGCTAACATGATGCAGTAGACAGCTGGATTCAGATTTTACCCTGAGGTCACTTAAATGAGTTTCTCACATTGGTAAATCTCATGGGATTATAAAAAGTATTGTGTGAAAGAATCCAATATATGGTTCACTTATAATTTTCTATTTAATACACACACACACACACACACACACACACACACACTCCCATTGTCACTATAATACTGATATTTCAACCCTTTCTAAAATTCTAGAAATACATTATACAGCTAGCAGTTCTGTAAAGTAAAATGGATGCAGTTGATCCCAACTGACCTTTAATTCCCATTATCATCCAAATTGAAACCATGATTATTCCATACCAGCCTTTTGCACTGGACAAATGAAGGTTCCTTACATTTCAGTGAGATTTTTTTTTTTCCTATGAGAAAAGACAATGTAGTTTTGGAATGCAAAGAAGATTTGCAGTCTTGATTAGGTCTTCTATATTTGTAATTTTATTTTAAAATTATTACATGAATGCATGTATTCAAAAAGTGAATGACTCTGAATATAATTTTGAGTATTTATCACATTAATGCAATGAAACAGGCAGTTTGTTATTCAAATTGTAATGTGGGACTGCAGCGAAATGACTTAGCATGCAATTGCCTAGTTCAGTTTTAGCTAGCCAACAGTTGAAGTTTTCCTTCCCTTCTTTTTCCCCTAGGGATTGAGTTGTTTTTAATTTCTTCAGGTCTTGGGTCTTTTCATCTCTTCTAATGAATTGATAGTTATGTTTTGCTGTACACAATCAAATTGATTATTACACATAGTGACCCTCCAGGGTTAGATATCACAATTTTGTTAGATTAAGGCTGAGAATGAAGCTGAAAGACTTTTTTTCACAATTAACATCAGCGATGCTACTGAGTATTGTATCTGGCAGTACCCAATGGATGCAATTGCCATTCAGCAAAAGAAACATCTCTTTCTCGTTTCTTTACAGTGTTACCTGGGAAAGTCCTCATCCTGTGTATATCAACATAGTAATTAAGCTCCTAGAAATCACATCTGCAGATAGTTTCTTTATATAAGTAACATTGAAGTATATTGACAAATTTCTAATCATTTTTCCAAGCAAATGTGAGATTCATATTGTTAATGATCACTTCCTAGCATTTTTTAAAGTTTAAAAGTAAAGTTATCTTTACTTTACCTATAATATGTAAACCAAACTTGGCAGCCTATTGTTTTCCTACGGGTCACGGGTGTCAAACTTGATCACATCACGTGATGTATCATGACGCATTGTGACTTTTTTTGTCTTTGCAGAGCCGGGGTAGATGTGACCTACGCATGATGCATCTGGCCTGGGGGCCGCCAGTTTGACACCCTGCTAGAGATTATGAACTGAGAAAGCGTTCTTTATGTCAGAACTGGTACTATCAATTCAACATTTTACATAGCAGCTTTGTTGAGAATAATGAGATGAGGTAAGTGGGGTAGTATAAGGTGGTTGGGGAGGAGCAGGGTTAAGTGTTGATATTCCATTAGCTAGCAATGGCTTTCAAGTACCATAAGTGTAATTTGAATGTTTTTAGGAGAAGTAATTAATAACTAGTTCCTTACCAAAAAAGAAGAATGTTGCAAATTGGATTTCTATAATTATGTAGACTGCTATACAAAAATGAAGACTGCAGCTGAACATTAATATGGGTTTTTTTTTTAAGCAGCTAATGCTTGAGATACACTATTTCAATTTTAAAAAGTTAATTTGGGGAGGAACAAATTATGTAGATGTGGAAAAACAGAGTGAAGAGAATAACTGGAAACTATTCTCTTAGCTCCGTTTCAAATAAAATTGAACTCTGAGTCATCTAAGGAGATTGATATTCATACCAGGCAAACCTATATACCTTCTTCCATAGGTTATTGTTAGACTATCAACAGCAAACCAATCTTGATGTCATACAGAATAAAATAATAGAACAGGACATGAAATGTCTTCTAGCTACTGCTATATGCAGATATTTGGAATTTCAGAGGAAACAATGCTGCAGCATCACCTGTGCTACATTTCCCAGCCCAAAGCATGAGAATGGGATTCAGATGAGGCAGTCACCTGAGCAGCAACAACTGCTCGGAGATGCAGCTGCTGGGGAACTGTCCAGCATTTCAGCATCCCAGCGCTTCATTCAGCAGTCCTGGCTCCATGTGAAGAGAATGCAAACGGCTGCACAAATAGATGAGAGCTCCTTAATCAGTAAGGTAAGGGATTTGAAAAGGTTATAAGTATTAATTAAGAAATCGTGCTGTAATGATAAACCATCTGAAAGAGAATGTCTGTGAGTGAATAAGGTATCAATAGCAGGGTATATAGGTAGAAGAGAGTTTGACTTAAAACGTTTCATTCACATGAGCATATGTTTAATCTAGTCACATTATCTTGTAATAGCAGAGATTTACATATGATGTAAAGATCTATGCAGTACAAGAAAACAGAGTTAATAAGACAAAGGAATTATGTGCTTAGCTGTAATTATGTCATGCATTCCATGACAATGTCATTTCATTCTTAAAGACATTTTGAAACTTAAATGTAAATATTATTTTCTTTAGGATATCGGATGAATGAAGGGGTTCAAAGTATAAAACTAAAAAAAGGCATGATGGAAGAACTGTTTAACTGAAGGACTGTGTTATCAGTAAAAAAAAGAATGGACTAGGAAAGGTCACTTACATGAAAATTAGCTGATTCAAGAAACTGTAAGAATGAAGTCTGTGACACATATCTCCACTCCCGAGAATTGCAAATGGACTGTTCTCATCTGCAAGAATTTATAAAAGAACTGGACCAACTAGGTATACCTAAACTGAGCAACATCTTTCAGAGTAAACACATTAGTCTAGTCATGAATAATTTTCCCTTCCAGCCTGAGCTCAATGCTTCCAGCACTGGTGTAGATGAGTCTTTCTATAGGACCGAATACCACACATGCAATACATCGACCCCTCAACTGATCCCCAAGTTTTATATTGCTGTGCCTGTCATCTACTCTATGATCTGTGCTGTGGGGCTTACCGGAAATTCTGCAGTCATTTATGTTATCTTGAGAGCACCCAGAATGAAGACAGTCACTAATATTTTCATCCTAAATTTGGCAATTGCTGATGAGCTTTTTACGTTGGTGCTTCCTATCAATATAGCTGACTACCTGCTGCTCCAATGGCCCTTTGGTGAATTCATGTGTAAATTGATTATCTCAATTGATCAATACAACACTTTTTCAAGTATTTATTTTCTAACAGTCATGAGTATTGATCGATACCTGGTGGTGGTTGCCACTATCAAGTCAAGGAAAATGACATATCGAACCTATAGGGCTGCCAAAATGGTGAGTTTGTCTGTTTGGGTTTTTGTCACCATTATTATCTTACCATTCAGTGTTTTTGCGAAGATACACAGTGAAGAGGGACGATCCCAATGTGTCTTTGTCTTTCCCCAGCCAGAAGGCTTCTGGTGGAAAGTGAGCCGCCTCTACACCCTGATCTTGGGTTTTGCCATCCCGGTATCCACCATTTGCATCCTGTACAGCATCATGCTGTACAAGCTAAGACATATGCACCTCCATAGCAATGCTAAAGCCTTGGACAAAGCAAAAAAGAAAGTGATGATAATGGTATTGATCATCTTGGGAGTTTGCCTGTTCTGTTGGACCCCCTATCATCTCAGCACAGTGGTAGCTCTCACTACTGACATCCCACAAACTCCACTAATTATTGGAATCTCTTATTTTATCACCACATTGAGTTATGCTAACAGTTGTCTCAACCCATTTCTTTATGCCTTTTTGGATGATACTTTCCGAAAGAGTTTCCGAAAAATGATGGAATGCGGGACTGCATCATAAAATCTTAGTCTCTTAGAGCCTCCTTAAGAAGAGGGGATATGTTTCTGAAGTTTTGTGAAGGTGGACAGAAGCAACTCTGAACACATTATGTTGGGAACTCAGAAGACAGAAATTGATTGGTCCTCTACTTCAAGTAGTGCCACAATATTCTTGAAGCTTGCCAAATTACAACTTTAGGAAACTCCTTTTTTCTGCTTTTGCAATATAGCTAGTATTCATTGCGGATTATCTCTACTTTGGTATGTATCTTAAATCTTTAGAATGTTTAGTTTAAAGAAAAGGAGTAGCAGATCATGATGACATGTTTAACTGAAAAAGGAAGCAATTGATACTGTTTGGAGTTTTATAAAGATGCAGAATGATGCTACTTTTGTAATTTCAATATGGATATGCAAAAATATATCTATGTAAACACACACATGCACACTAAGCATGCAATGATATATTATCTTCCACCATTATCTTTTGTTAGAAAATAAAATGCATATTTGATAAGATACATGGAGAGGTTATGCTGCCGCAAAGGTGGAGAGAATTCCTTCTTTGCTCTCTCTCTCTCTCTCTCTCTCTCTCTCTCTCTCTCTCTCTCTCTTTCTCTCTCTCTCTCTCTCTCTCTCTCCCTCCCTCCCTCCCTCCCTCTCTCCCTCTCCCTTCTGGGAAAAAGCAAATTGCCATGACCCAGAGTCTAAATGAATGGATGGCAAGGGGCTCTTAGAATTAGGCTGGGGGCTATCCTTATTTCCTAGCATCTGCTCATTCAATGGAAGGAGATATTTCTTGAAAGCCATGAGGCTAATCTTTCTTCTTTTTCTGCCCCATCTGAAAAATTCACATGAGTAAATTATATATTGGACTCCTACTTTTGTTTATTTATTATTGTTGCAGAAAATTATTTATAATTGAGTTGAAACAAACCTAGGGATGAGTTTTATTATATATTGACATTATATGAATCTGTTATAATTTTTGTAATATATTTATATTCATTAAATGAAGATTGGATAGCAACTGCATTAGAAAGAATGGATGTTTTCTTAAGCTGTAAACATTCCTACAAGACATTGTTGCATGTGGTGTTGCAAAGGAAAAGGGAATACAGAAAAATGAATTGCCCATCTAGTAATGGGCATTGACAGCCACCTTCAGTATAGAATAAGAAGTGCAGTCTAGTTACAATGTTACCTCCTCTAAAGTCCAAAGAAACTTATTATGTCTGACCTTCATTTACTTCAGGGTTTCTCAGAAAGTTTCCTCAAGAACTTATTAATGTATGCTAAACATTAATCACTATTTTTTTTAAAAAAAAAAATGGATGATTGCTTGGTGGACAGATCCGATATACAGAATGTTTTTCCATAGGCAGGAAACAGTATGTGTGTTGTGTATGTCTGTGTGCATGTAAAGTATATTACACATATATACAGGTGTGTGTTTGTGTGTGTGTGTGTGTGTGTGTGTGTATAAATTTATGAAATAACTCTTTAAAAACTGAGCAAGCTGTTCTCTAAGAATGTCTTAGTTTTATATATATTTCTCTGTAAAAAATATTGATTGCCTCCTCCCCTCCCATTTTACCTTTTACTTGGCATGGTTAGAACTGAAAGAGATGGCTTCATTAAAAAAAACAACTAAATAGTGCTCTTCCTTCTAGTGGTCCTTCAAGAAAAATTGACAAATAATACAAATAATATTTGGAATTATGTCAAGAGTGTCTACATTACAACCGGAAAGTAATTACTACTCGACCATTCCTCTGCAGTGTTGGTTACACAAGAATTTTTTTTGTTGTTCAGAGACAATCAAGAAATGGTGCCTAGCCCGATAAATAGAAATTACACACCATTTTTAAAAATATACTTTGAAAAACTGGTATGTTGGTTGCAAGATTTTGATATCAAATTGATTGTTTTGACCCATTCTTGAGACTGATGAAGACAAAAACTTGTTTCTATTCCTAGAAAGTTAAACCCATTTTAATATGCATCACTTTATGCATATTTTCACTGCTTAAGCAAGGACCTCTTCCAAGTCTGCCTTGCATGTCAGAATCAATTAACAATGCCTACATTTCAACTATTACTTCAATGTTACTTCTAACAATTTATAATAGCCTGTTGACTGAGTTCATATCCTAATCTATAATGTAATATATTTTTGTATGGTTTAATATGTTGCATATTAGGGAATTAAACCTTATGGTTCAACCTGATTATAGCAAATTCTAGTTTATTCAATGAACCATAGAGATAAGCAGAGTTTAGCATGTTGCTTAATGAAACGGATATCTCTGTATTTCCAATGATGTATTTGTAATCTCTAAATGATGCCAAGGTTTGAATCCTGTATTTTATGCAAATAAGTTATGCTGCTGTCTTAGAAAGAAAAAATAGATCCTTTTCCCTCCCTTCTTAAAAAAGTATTTATTAAATTCAGCATTTCATTCACTCAGAATCTTAAGAACAAGTTATATATGTTGTTATTTATTTATTTATTTATTAAAAATACTTTGAAACTAGGCAGAACTATAGATCCAATCCAAATGTGTGTCCCATCCTAAAGAACAGGAAACGGTGCATTCAGAGCAAATAATGGCATGATCATTTTTCAGCAGGGAAATAGATTGTGTCCCATGAATAAAAAATATCTTTTAGATTGGGACCATACAGCAGATTTTTCTTGTAAAAAGAAAAGAAAAGAAAGGCATCCTTTACAAAAGCACACCCTACATTTTCACCTGGACTTTTCTCTGCATAGAAGGGACATTTATAAGCCTTTGGCATATTATCTCTAAAATATTCCTGAAGAAGCATGCATCTTTAGAAATAGAGTCTAAAAAGGCCCTCTTTTGGGAAGTAATTCTGAAACTCAGATCTACTTCAGAAAGTCAATCTACTCAGTTACTTTTATTCAGGCTGGTTTTAGTTCATTGTTTATCGTTTTATTTCAGCATGCAATCTATAACATTATGCGAATGACTAAATGCAAACTTTAGCTATTTCATCTACCTTGTCCTGTCCTGTCCTGCCACGCCACGCCACGCCACGCCACATCACGTCACGTCATGTTACATCAGTATTGACTCCTGGTGACTGCCTAGATCACGCTTTCTCAACATTTTAAGCCTGAAGGAACTCTTGAAATATTTTTCAGGCTATGAGCCTCTTCCTTCCTCCCTCTACCTTTGTGGGTGGCTCCTGAGGCCCCTGGTGCCCAGGTCAGTGTATCCTGGGACAGAGCTCCCTGAGAATGATTGGCCAGGCTCACCAAGTTGGCTTTGTGCCTAAGGTAGGCCTAGAACTCATGGTCTCTTGGTTTCTAGCCTGGAGCCTTAACTAGTACACCAAACTACCTCTCAAACACATAGTACAGATACTGATTAATACATTATCAATGGTATATTGTTAGAGCCTGCTCATGTTACCCTAACAAGTTTCTCTTTTGCTACGCAATGACATTTAATGCTTCTTCTTGCATAACTGTTCTCAGCAGTTTGTTGGATGCTGATTTAATTTGATACAAAATAAAGAATTATTAGAAAAAGAACAATGATAGCTCCCAGAAAAACTTTAGTTAACTATAAAACTAGGGCAAGTATTAAACTTGTAGAAGCTTCGCTGGAATTATTACATCATCACACTATAATTTCATAGGAAGTTATCTCAGTTGCAAACTTAATCTTTTTTTAAAAAAAAATTATTTGAATTTTCAATACATATAATACTTTCCATATATTATATATAAAACTAAAAAAAGAGATAAATACCTTTAAAATAAGACCTTAGGTGTCGCTTGTCTATCTCCCCCCGACTGCATCCGCCCTCTCAACCTTCCTTCCTTACTTCCCTACTCCCTCTCTCCTCTCATCTCCTCTCCTCTCTCCCCTCACCCCTTCCTCCCATCCAACTTCCTTCCTTCCCTCCTCTTCCGTTCTTATCCCTCTTCGGATACAGTTCAGGGGAAACACCCGAGCGGCACCTCCTTCTAAATTACTACATCTATTTCATACTTTAATATTTCTATATATATATAATCCCAGCCCACCTCTCCCCCCCTACCCTCCCCCCACTTCCCAGAGCAAAATACAGGGTTATTATAAACAAAACAAACACAATAAAACAACAACAAAAAATTCTATACAATAAACAAATTCATACATTACCCTTAACTTTCTCTAAACTTAAAATAATAATAATAATAATAATAATAATAATGATAATAATAATGATAATAATAATAATAACATAAACAAATCTACTATAAATCAAATATTATAAAAATCTATAAATAGTAATTATAACCTCAATAAAAAATTAATCATAAAATAAATGGAACTTTAAAGTTCCATATTTATTCTGAATATAATCTATCCACCTTCTCCACACTATAATAAATTTTTCTTGTGTATGGTCCTTTAAATAAGCAGAAATTTTTGCCATTTCTGCTAAAGTAGAAACCTTAAGTGTCCATTTTTCTAAGGTAGGCAGCGAATCCTTCTTCCAATATAAACCTACAATCTTGCTGCAGTTATTAAATTCAACATTAAAATAGTTTCATTAACATCTAAATCCATAAGTTGCAAACTTAATCTTATATTCAGTTTTGAGACAATGAAAATGAAATCTAGACAATGTTATAATTCCTTTAAATATTTGGGGAAAATTAAATATGATGAACATGCATTTAATTGCAAGGTTGATATATTTTTTTAAAAAAAATCTGTTTTTTTTTCTTCACATTATTTTGAGCCAACTGAAACACTATTTAAAAATTTATTTTGGCAGGGGTGTTATTTAAGAGTTTTTAACTAAATACGTTGCCTATTAGGAGGTGTGGATTTATTGTTAGGCATTTTCTGACTTATGCTTGAACATTTATTAGGGCTTCATTCATTAGCTGAATCAAAGAATTTCATATTTCATTTTCTTTTGAATCAACTAAAAAACTACCCTTTAGCATTATTTAAATTCTGATGAATAGTAGGATTCTTCTTTCAATACTTTCACTTAATGCCTCCAGATATACGTGCTAAATATTGGATCACAGTTATAAATTGCACCATTTTACTCAAGAAAAGCTTAAATTATGGGATAATTCATGCTGAATTAGATCAGGTAAATCTTTTTTAAGGTAAATGGAATCTTTCATAATATTAATTTGGTTCAATTGATTTTTGAATTTTCAAAATTTTTGTAGAACCTAAACTGAGAATGAGTTTTGCTACTTTTTCAGCGTCAGCATGTCGAAATTGGGCTACGTAGTTCTGATACCATTGCTGCTTTTGAAGGTCTTCTGTTGCTGTTAATGTAAAATACACTTTTAGAAATGAAGTTCATGTCTTTCTACCTTAATAAAAACATATTATAGGGAGTGTTTTGTGTATACTGGTTACCTCAAATAATTTTTAATAAGGATACATTGCAATAATTCTTCTATTTACTTTGCTAT